CCTCAGCCCCGATGCAAGCAGCGGGCGGGCTCTTGGGAGGAGTTATGCAAATATTACGGGTGGGTGTGGTTCCAAGGCAGGCTGTATTTTCATGCAGGCCACCTACATGTGATGCTGAGCCTCCATGATTGAATGAAAGGGGGCGGGGCCGGGGCCAGTCAGGATGGGGAGGAAAGCTCTAGATGATGCTGGACATCCTCCGGCCAGGCAATGAGGCGGGCTCTATCTGACTTGCTGCAGCTTCTAATGCACATTGTGAGAAGATCCCAGTGTGCAGTGACATCAGAGGAAGAGGAGAGGACGGAGGTCAGATAGAAGGCTAAAGGGGAGGACGGAGGTCAGATAGAAGACTGAAGGGGAGGACGGAGGTCAGATAGAAGACTGAAGGGAAGGACGGAGGTCAGGTAGAAGACTGAAGGGGAGGACGGAGGTCGGATAGAAGACTGAAGGGAAGGACGGAGGTCGGATAGAAGACTGCAGTGTTTGCTGGATGGCATTAGCAGTCGCGCTCCTTCCCTTCTTGCCCGGCGTTGCCATAGTAAACAAATAACGACGGCCATGTTAACCAGCTGATCCGCCGCGGCGTCTGGATAGAGACATATCCTGGGGGCCCGCAGACGTTGGGGGGAGCATATGGACGGAAACGGGTGATTAGGCTTTAGGACGCACTCTGGCGCTTCAAGAAAAGGAAAAGATGAATAACTGACCCCAACCAACTGCCCCCACCCATGTCAGCGTGCAGCACCATCCACCTACCCCAACCAACTGCCCCCACCCATGTCAGCGTGCAGCACCATCCACCTACCCCAACCAACTGCCCCCACCCATGTCAGCGTGCAGCACCATCCACCTACCCCAACCAACTGCCCCCACCCATGTCAGCGTGCAGCACCATCCACCTACCCCAACCAACTGCCCCCACCCATGTCAGCGTGCAGCACCATCCACCTACCCCAACCAACTGCCCCCACCCATGTCAGCGTGCAGCACCATCCACCTACCCCAACCAACTGCCCCCACCCATGTCAGCGTGCACCACCATCAGCCTACCCCAACCAACTGCCCCTACTCAGGTCAGCGTGCACCACCATCCAGCTACCCCTCCAGTTAGCATGTACCACCAGCACCGCAGTAACCCCAACTCCCCCCTCAAGTGGTGAAATGTTTTAGGACACCCCTGGAAGGCAGTGCCACAGAGTCACAGGAAGCCGGCGTTTCGGGGCCCCCAAGGTGACAGTGATGTCCCGTTTATTAGGAGCGCCGGTGACTTTGTATCTTCTCTCCAGTCCCAGTGAAGTTGCATCTCCACAATATGACCCTTTGAAGCTGCAGCAGCTCTCGAGTCCTCCTGTCATACTGGTCCTCTCTCCTCCTGATCCGCACTCTCGTCGGCTCGCCTCTCGCAGCCATTTGCTTTCTCTGCCATCAATCGCTTTGTTCCAGATCATAATGTGAAAGAACGCATCCCCGGCCTCCCTGTAGACGTGCGTGCTCAACCAACCAATCGGTGTAGTCGGTGCGTAGGACAGCCCCACCCACTGGCAGCCGTGGTATCCTACACTCTGCACCCATGACAACTGTATGCCGTTTTGGATTGAACGGTTCTTTGATATTCGGCAATACATCCGATCCGGAGGTGCATCCGGCTGACGGGGGGGGTGATTTGCATAGCTCCGCCCACTCACTTCCACCGTCTGAATCCAGTATTTGTCGTCCTTCCCTTCCAGATAAATGGACGTGGACCAGGCTGAACCCATCCGGCGTGAAGCCCAACCCCCGGACGGGTTTCGCCATGGCGGTCGGCGTCAACAACCGCAGCGTCCTCTTCGGGGGCGTCTTCGACGAGGAAGAGGAGGAAAGCATCGAAGGGGATTTCTTTAACGACATCTACTTCTACGATCACGCCAAGAACCGCTGGTTCACCGGGCAGATGAAGGTGAGTGTATGGGGGGGGGTCAGTGCCGGGGGGAGAGGGGAGCTACAACTCCCAGCTTGCCTGGCTGAGGCCGACCGCCACGCACAAGGCGTGATGAATATGCGCAAAGGAAAAAATGTTTCGGTCGGTGTCATTTTTTAAATGGGCTGGTCTCTAGGGATTCTTCAGGTCCCTACAAAGCTCAGGATTTCAAATGGTTTCTTTGTATCTTTTTTTTTTGTTTATTGCTATTTTTGTTTTACAAATAAAGTTTTATAGGACACTGAAATTATAGAGCTCTGCGGGATTTCTATAGGGAACGCCTGCTTGCTTTCAGACTCGCTCTCTCTCATTGAAACCTGAATTCTCTTTTAATGTATATCCATAGGGAACACTAAAGATGATGCTTAATCTGCTTATATTTGGCCTTCCCTGCCCCCCCCCGCCATCAGCAAATTTTAAGATAAAACCTTTTTGTTTTCATGACATATGATGTCATCACTGAGTGATGATATCAGTGATGACATCATATGTATGTAATCATGGCTGGTGGGAGGGGCCGGCAGGGGGCTGTACATAGCTTCAGTACTAATCAAGAGCCCCTCTTAGACCTGATGCAAGCAGTGGGCGGGCTCTTGGGGGGATTATGCAAATATCAAGAGCCCCCTACGCCCTGATGCAAGCAGTGGGCAGGCTCTTGGGAGGGGTTATGCAGATAGCAAGAGCCCCCTACGCCCTGATGCAAGCAGTGGGCGGGCTCTTGGGAGGGGTTATGCAGATAGCAAGAGCCCCCTACGCCCTGATGCAAGCAGTGGGGGTGGCTCTTGGGAGGGGTTATTTATGCAAATATCAAGAGCACCCCTAACCCTGATGCAAGCAGTGGGCGGGCTCTTGGGAGGGATTATGCAAATATCAAGAGCACCCCTAAACCCTGATGCAAGCAGTGGGCGGGCTCTTGGGAGGGATTATGCAAATATCAAGAGCACCCCTAAGCCCTGATGCAAGCAGTGGGCGGGCTCTTGGGAGGGATTATGCAAATATCAGAATGCCTTGATAGGTGGGTGTCGGTCTGGAGGAGTGGGCGTTCCTAGTCAGGCTGCATTTGCATAGGCAACGCCCACATCTGATGCTGAGCCTCCATGATTGACAGAACTGAAATCCAATGAATGAAAGGGGCGGGGCCCAGGGACAGTCAGGTTGGGGGAGGAAAGAGCGATATGATGCTGGGCTGGTCTCTAGGGATTCTTCAGGTCCCTACAAAGCTCTGTGTCCCTTCTACCATTTCAGGGCCCCAAATCGGAGCGCAGGAAGAGGCGGCGCGGCGAGAAGAGCGATGAGACGGAGGCGGCGGGCTGCGACGAGGCCTCTGCG